CATGCCTTTTTACACCTCCCTTTTTAAGTAAGTAAGTAAGTAAGTAAGTAAAGTTTTATTTATAAAGCACCTTTCACAGAAATATATTCACAAGGTGCTGTACAATCATTGACAGTATAAAAATGGTGGAAAGAATAAGATGAAACAGAAAAACATAATTAAACATAAGCAACGAAAAAATTGAAACATCACATCAAGAAAAAAATTCTACAATTGTAATCCAAACACAAGGTCAATGCAGGGTAAAATATACAATAATACACAAAAACATAATGAATGCGGGAGGGAAAAATATGGCGTAAGTTCAATAATTAAAAACACAGATTGATGAGCATTTACATTTGAGGTAGGCTGCCATTAATGGTGAAAATGGTTAATAGTAGTTTTCTGATAATTGTAGTTTTCAAATAAAGACAGCCTCTCCTCAAAAGCTGCTATAAGTCCACATTAATACAAATGTCATCGCCAAACGAGGCAGGGGATGAGCTAAACATCTCACACATGAAGCGAGGAAAGCCGAGGTCGGAGAAGAAGTAGCCAAGATGCTAAGCAAACGTTAGCGGGAGCTACAAGATCCCGAAATCCACAAATAACACCAAGAAGTGTTGAAAAATAAAAAACGTTTTAAGCACAGTTCCAACACAAACTATATCAAAGGTGATTTGGACTAGAAGTAGAACCGTGCAAAGGTATATAATCCAGTGAGATAAAGAAATTCCCAAACAAACAAACAAACAAATTGCCAAGCACCACCGAAAAAGCAGAAAAGATACAATACGTAACCCCACACAGAGCTTTAAGGTTGCTGTAATTAAACCTTTACTTAAGAAACCTGATCTTGATTCAGGAGTTCTGGCCAATTATAGACCTATATCTAATCTCCCATTCATCTCAAAAATTCTTGAGAAAATAATTGCAAATCAACTACGTGAACATCTGGATAGAAATCTATACGAGGAGTTTCAGTCAGGGTTTAGAGCTCATCATAGCACAGAAACAGCACTGGTGAAAGTTACTAATGATATTTTCATGGCCTCAGACGGTGGGCTTGTGTCCATTCTTGTCCTGTTAAGGCTGGTTTATACGTCTTGTCGCACGTCTTTTACCACCCGCTGGGTGAAAAAAAGTTGCGCAACTTCCGTCTGCACTCCCGCTGCTATCCCCCGGTGACAACTGTCCTATACATTGCCCCCAGTCAGCACTCCGAGACGCGGAGGACGCGGCGTGGAGTGTGTGATTGGTTCAAAGTTTGTGGGCAGTTTTGTGCTGTGTCACACCGCTACCCGCTACTCGCTACCAGAAGCTGGTTTTTGTTTCTAAACATGGATAGTTTAGAAGAGAAACTCACCGAGGCGGTCCGGAGGTACAACCATCTGTGTCCTGTACTGCGTCGGTGCGTGCTGAAGTTGAGGGGAGATCCAGTAGGCAAAAAAAAAAAATAAAAAGATCCGGTGGGCAAGTTCCTCGAAACGAGCAGCGGACATTTGAAAATAGGAGAAGTGTTTTTCTTCATCCATCTCCTGCATCTCCTGCACAAGCTAAACTCGCAACTAACAAGTTATTTTTTAGCAACTAGCAGTTATTTACATGCTAAGCTAGCGCTTGACGTCTGCGGTGGGAGGGCAGAGGGAGGGATTACTATAATGTATCCCCCACGTCTTTTCCCAGTATAAACATTGAATGCTGTCGGTGACACACAAGCAATTATGTCATCGTTGGACCGCAGCCGCATGTCTTGTATGAAGTATAAACAAACCTTTAGATCTCAGTGCTGCATTTGATACAATTGATCACAATATTTTATTACGTAGACTTGAACTTTATATTGGGATTACAAGAACAACTCTAAAATGGTTTGAGTCTTATTTAACTGATAGATTTCAGTTTGTTAATGCTAATTATGAATCTACTTCTTACACCAGAGTTAGTCATGGAGTTCCTCAGGGTTCAGTGCTTGGACCAATCCTCTTCACTTTATATTTGCTTCCATTAGGTAAAGTTATTAAACAGCATGGGTTAAATTTCCATTGTTATGCTGAAGATACTCAGCGAAACCTGATGAATCCAGCCAGTTACTTAAACTACAAGCATGTCTTACAGACATAAAAACATGGATGACTCTTAACTTTCTGCTTCTAAACTCAGATAAGACAGAGATTTTGATTTTTGGACCTGAACATCTTAGGGATCAACTTTGTAGCCTTTCACCTCTGGATGGCATTAATCT